TGTCACCCGTGTGTCACCATTCCCACGTGGCACCATCCCCGTGTGTGTTACCGCCTGCACCTGGTGAGGACCGCGGCACCGCGTCACCGTCACCGCGTCACCCGCGCGTCATTGTCACCCCTGTGTTATTGTCACCCGCATGTCATTGTCACCCGTGTGTCACCATTCCCACGTGGCGCCATCCCCGTGTGTGTTACCGGCTGCACCTGGTGAAGATGACGTCACCGCGTCACCCGCGTCACCGTCACCGCGTCACCCGCGCGTCATTGTCACCCGCATATCACCCGTGTGTCACCCGTGTCACCCATGTGTCACCATTCCCATGTGGTACTGTCCCTCCATGTGTTGCCGCCTGTACCTGGTAAGGACGGCGCCACCACGTCACCCACGTCACTGTCACCGTGTCACCCGCGTGTCACCCGTGTGTCACCATCCCCACGTGGCACCATTCCCCTATGTGTTACCGCCTGCACCTGGTGAGGACGGCGCCACCGCGTCACCGTCACCCATGTGTCACCGTCACCCATGTGTCATTGTCACCCACGTGTCATTGTCACCCACGTGTCACCCATGTGTCACCACCCCCGTGTGTTACCGCCTGCACCTGGTGAGCGCCACACGTGTCACCGTCACCCGCGTGTCCCTGTCACCCCTGTATCCCCACGTGTCGCCGTCACCCGCGCGTCACCGTCACCCGCGTGTCCCCGTCACCTCCCGCCTGTCCCCAGGGCCAGTGCCAGTGGCGACAACCGCCGGGCCGGGAGATCTACCGGAAGGGCAACATCTCCGTGTACGAGGTGGACGGGAAGGACCACAAGGTGCGCGGGGACACGGGGACAACAGCGTCACCGCCACCGCCCGGGTGGCCCCCGCGGTGGTGGCACCACCTTGGTGGCGGCCCCTGGTGTCCCATGATGTCCTATGATGTCACACGCCATCCCATGACATCATACAACGTCCCATGACATCATACAACGTCCCATGATGTCCCACAATGTCCCTTGACACCCTACAATGTCCCATGATGTCCTATGATGTCACACGCCATCCCATGACATCATACAACGTCCCATGACATCATACAACGTCCCATGATGTCCCACAATGTCCCTTGACACCCTACAATGTCCCATGATGTCCTATGATGTCACACGACATCCTATGACATCATACAACATCCCGTGACATCATACAACATCCCATGACATCATACAACATCCCGTGACATCATACAACGTCCCATGACCCTACAGCGTCCCATGATGTCCCACAACGTCCTTTGACGTCGCACAACGTCCCTTGACACCCTACCGTGTCCCGTGACATCGTATGCTGCCCCATGACATCATACGGCGTCACGTGACGTTGTACATCCCGTGACGTCCCACAATGGTGGCCTGTTGTACAACGTCCCATGGTGGCCTATGATGTCCCATGATGCCCCACAATGATGTCCCATGACGTCCCATGATACCATACAATGTCCCCACAATGTCCCATGATGTCCCACAACGTCCCACAACGATGTCCCACGTTGTCATACAACGGTCCATGATGGCCCGTGACATCCCAAGATGCCCCAAAACGTCCCATAAGGATGTCCCATGATGTCATACAATGTCCCACAATGATGGCCCATGATGTTGTACAATGGTCCATGATGGCCCATGACATCCCATGATGCCCCAAAACGTCCCATAAGGATGTCCCATGATGTCATACAATGTCCCACAATGATGGCCCATGATGTTGTACAATGGTCCATGATGGCCCATGACATCCCATGATGCCCCAAAACGTCCCATAAGGATGTCCCATGACGTCATACAGCGGCCCATGATCTCCCATGATGCCCCAAAATGTCCCACAAGGATGTCCTATGATGTCATACAACGTCCCATGATGTCATACAATGTCCCACAATGATGGCCCACGTTGTCATACAACGGTCCATGATGGCCCGTGACATCCCATGATGCCCCAAAACGTCCCAAAATGATGGCCCATGATGTCATACAATGTCCCACGATGTCCCATGAGGCCGTACAACGTCCCATGATGTCCCATGACATCCTATGATGCCCCAAAACGTCCCAAAATGATGTCCCATGATGTCATACAATGTCCCACGATGTCCCATGAGCCCGTACAACGTCCCATGATGTCCCACAGTGTCCCACAATGATGTCCTATGATGTTGTACAATGTCCCATGATGCCTTAAAACATCCCACAATGATGTCCTATGATCTCCTATGATGCCCCAAAATGTCCCACAATGATGTCCCATGATGTCATACAACGTCCCATGATGTCCCATGATGTCCTACAGTGTCCCACAATGATGGCCTATGATGTCGTACAACGTCCCATGATGGCCCGTGACATCCCATGATGCCCCAAAACGTCCCACAATGATGGCCCATGATGTCATACAATGTCCCACGATGTCCCATGATGCCGTACAACGTCCCATGATGGCCCATGACATCCCATGATGCCCCAAAACGTCCCACAGTGACGTTGTACAACGTCCCACGACGCTGTACAACGTCCCATAAGACTGTCCCATAACATTGTACATTCCGTGACATCCCACCACGACATCCCACCACCGCGGTCCACCCCGCCAACACCCCCCACACCCCATGACATCACCGTGACGTCACCGTGACGTCACCGTGACGTCACCCCCCCAGATCTACTGCCAGAACCTCTGCCTGTTGGCCAAGCTCTTCCTGGACCACAAGACCCTCTACTTCGACGTGGAGCCCTTCGTCTTCTACCTCCTCACCGAGGTCGACCGCCAGGGCGCCCACATCGTCGGCTACTTCTCCAAGGTACCCGCAACACCCCCCCCGACCACACCCCCACGA